TCCAACCTAAACCTCCCTTGCTGCAGTTTAAGCCCATTGCTTCTTGTTCTATCCTTAGAGGCTAAGGTGAACAAGTTTTCTCCCTCCTCCTTATGACACCTTTTAGATACCTGAAAACTGCTATCATGTCCCCTCTCAGTCTTCTCTTTTCCAAACTAAACAAACCCAATTCTTTCAGCCTTCCTTCATAGGTCATGTTCTCTAAGACTTTTAATCATTCTGGTTGCTCTTCTCTGGACCCTCTCCTCCAATTTCTCCACATCTTTCTTGAAATGCGGTGCCCAGAAATGGCGTCATATACTATGACGAATATGGAGTGTAGTGTCGCACGTCCTATTTACTTCAGACCATTTCTCCAGTTTGTCCAGATAGTTTTGAATTTTAATCCTATCCTCCAAAGCACTTGCAACTCCTCGCAGCTTGGTATCATCTGCAAACTTTATAAATGTGCTCTCTATGCCATTATCTAAATCACTAATGAAGATATTGAACAGAACCAGACCCAAAACTGATCCCTGTGGAACCCCACTCAATATGCCCTTCCAGCTTGACTGTGAACCACCTACCCTCTGTGAACGATTTTCCAACCAGTTATTCACCCACCTTATAGGAGCTCCATCTAGGTTGTATTTCCCTAGTTTGTTTACGAGGAGGTCATGTGAGTCAGTATCAAAAGTCTTATTAAACTTAAGATGCACCACATCTACCACTCCCCTTCCCATCCACAAGGCTTGTTACTCTGTCAAAGAAAGCTATTAGGTTGGTTTGACACAATTTTGTTCTTGGCAAATCCATGCTGACTGTTACTTATCGCCTTATTATTCTCTAGGATTCTGCAATTTGAGTGCTTAATTATTTTCTCTATCTTCCCGGGAACTGATGTTAAGCTGACTGGTCTGTAATCCCCCGGGTTGTCCTTATTCCCTTTTTTATAGATTGGCACTATATTTGCCCCTTTTCCAGTCCTCTGGAATATCTCCTGTTTTCCATGACTTTTCAAAGATAATCGCTTATGGCTCAGATATCTCCTCAGTCAGCACCTTGTGTATTTTAGGATGCATTTCATCAGGCCCTGCCGACTTGAAGACATTCAACTTGTCTACGTAATTTTTAACCTTTTCTTTCCCTATTTTAGCCTCTGATCCTACCTCATTTTCATTGGCATTCGCTGTTAGACATCTGCATGGAGATAGAGACAACTAGGGCATGTGTGCTGAGATGCCATTTACAGTTGAGGGCAATATTTATAATCAAGCTTTAACTCTGATTTTTCTTGCAGTCTTTGTGTTATTTCTTTCTTGTTTGGATGACTGATTAACTGGGGATTTTAGTCAAAAAGTAGATGGCATCAACATGTTCTACACTTTTTCTCTAGCCTTTGCGAGGAGAAGTAACTGTTCTGATTGCATGTTTAAATTAACATACTCTGTCTTCAATGTTAGAAAAATACTCAAATATTTATAGTAAAAGATACTTGGCTAAAGAAGTACACATGTGTAGGATAATTCTTATTTGATCTCTTTCAGCCCTGGGTCCAGCGTAGTGATGGAACCAAAGAATAAGCTAATGCCAGGCATGAGAGCACCCAAGTCCTTGCCATATAGCCTATCCTGGAAAAGCAGTAAGTGCAAAGGCAGTTGGTCTCCCCCTGCTGTAAGTTGGGACCTACATGTTAGCTCAAAGTGGAACAGGACAACTTTCCTCTGTATTTTGATTCTACGTGTCAGCATTCTCCTACATAAACTGAAATGCATTTATTCCCACCATCAGCAAGTGGAGATGGAGAGCTCTGTAACACAGTCCTCCCTAGAAGCAGCTGCATTTCTGTGGTGGGTGGAGTGTCTTCTGTGTCCAGGTTTTATTTCGCTGTAGGTGGCATTGTGGCAAAGGTGGTCTGGCTCCATATATTGCCCCCATTACTATAGCATCTGACATCTAAATGTCAGATTATTATTCACCACTATTGATTGAACAAAAGTCGAGGCTTACAAACAGGTCTGAGTTTGGCACAGTGGAGCTCAACACAGTTGTAGCTCTTCAGGTATAGCTGCTACTGGAGTCAGTGGAAGCTGTACACGTGTGTAGCAGCTGTAGCATTTGGTTTGGTTTTGCAAAACCTGATTGAAATCTCATGGCTAGGGTGTATCTATCCAAGGAAACCTAATAGTATTACTTCCAAGGGAATGTAACCTAAACTGAAAATGATTAGGGGTCTGGAGC